GAAAATTCATTATCTTGCAATTTCTTACAGTTCTCACCTACAACCACTCCTTCCCTACACAAACCCTAGAAATTTCTTCTGCTGAACCTCTCTCCTCACAAGGAGAGATGAAAAGGGAGAGCTAAAAAATTGGCCAACTAACTTTGCATTTTTTTCGTAGGCACTATCATTCCATCACGTAACATATACTTTTTTTTTTCTTTTTCTCTTTAGGCCTTTACATCAAAGCCATAAAAAATTCTTGTTGAAGAGAGTAATGTTCAGCGAGTTGATGCCTTCTGGTATTTTGAATTTCATGCTCGCGCTGCGCGAAATTCAACTTTTTTTTCCCTGACCAAATTAAAACAGCCTATGGTTTTTATTTCTTCGAAATCAAAACAAATCCTCCAATAAGGACCCAAATATTGAGGCTCTCAATTTCTACTTCAATTCCTGATTCTGGGGTTGTATGTCTGGCAATTTAAAGGTTAGGGTTTCGAAACATTGTTCCATATCTACATTTAAAAATCAAATTTTGATATTCCTGATACTGTTTATTTTATTGTGTAATTTTAGTACATTCTTATGTATGTATATGGACTTTCTGAGTGGATGATATATAAACTGCATTGTTAAATTAGTGTTCTGAGATTTTTTTCAGTTTCTTTTCTTCTACCTATGTGTGATAATATATTCATAAACTGAGAGGCACTTTTGGTTCTTGTTTATGAGAGTGTGGTTATAATTAGTTTTTTCTTCTGTTTACTGTATGCATATGGATTCAATTTGCGAGCTTGTTAATTCTATTTTATTTTTTACTTTGGCCCTTGTTTTTTTTATGGGAGTTACTATTACATGCATCCCCTAAAGTCATTAATCAATTATTTTATTTTATCACTGTATGTGTCTGGAGCTTTTGGTTATTCGTCATCTTCCAGAAGCTAGAAAAATTACGATTTTCGGGTTCACTCTTTTTGTGCCTTGTTTAAGAATATAGTTTACTTTTACCCAAATTATGAGTGCTTATCTTATTCTCATATGCTGATTAGTAATGCTACATTTGATAGTAGAAAAATTGAAAGCAAGGATTTTGGTGAATTGCTGTCCTTGGCTTGGTTGCAGTCTCTCATGGTTGGAATTTGTGAACTGTCCCACAATTGAAATGATAGTGCTTCAAGTTTAGAGTTATATAGTCTATGAGTTTCCTACGCTAGTGCAACCAAATTATGAAAATATTAGAAAAAAGAAATATGAAAATAATTTTCCTTGCTCAGGAATTTTCCGTGCAAGATCATAGGCTATGAGTATTTTTTGTGCAAAATTGTTCCTGAGTTTGTGCTCGTCATGCTAACATTTAAGTTGTAAAGCTCCAA